TTAGAATTACTTTATCTAATCTGATAGAAAGATAGATTTTATATCATTAATGCTTTCGATAGAAATCTTAGAAAAATAAAAAAAGAATGGCTCCTATTAATGTAAACGAAGAAAAGTTTGGTTTCGAGCAATCTCTTGGTATGTGTCATCAATTATGCATTTTGATGCTTATTGGCAAATTCCATAGTGTTAGGCATTCACCATGGCACTGGCTCGTTTCAGTGTTTATCAGTTTTTCTCCGGATTGCTCTTTTTAGAATTACTTTATCTAATCTGATAGAAAGATAGATTTTATATCATTAATGCTTTCGATAGAAATCTTACAAAAATAAAAAAAGAATGGCTCCTATTAATGTAAACGAAGAAAAGTTGGGTTTCGTTCAATCTCTTGGTATGTGTCATCAATTATGCATTTTAATGCTTATTGGCAAATTCCATAGTGTTAGGCATTCACCATGGCACTGGCTCGTTTCAGTGTTTATCAGTTTTTCTCCGGATTGCTCTTTTTAGAATTACTTTATCTAATCTGATAGAAAGATAGATTTTATATCATTAATGCTTTCGATAGAAATCTTACAAAAATAAAAAAAGAATGGCTCCTATTAATGTAAACGAAGAAAAGTTGGGTTTCGAGCAATCTCTTGTTTCATAATTGTTGAGCTTACTTCCATTTCGAGTAAAAGTGTTGGGTGAAGAGATTCGAAGGTCGGTTCTACCAGAAGACGACGGCAGATTCCTCTTGACCAGCTGTCGATTGGCTTTATCGGAACATTCCGAGGCAATCTTCTTTGATTCCGGTGAAAAGGTGCTAAGCTTTCGTTCTTCATATGACAAACATCCTCATCACAACAAAATTCAAGCTAACGAGTCAAGGAAACTAACCGGCAAATCCCTAAAAAGTGGTATATATTTACTCTACATCTGGCCTCTTTGATCAAGTATAAAGTGATTTGGTTAGTTAAGCTCATCGAAGTTGACATATGACTGACGAAAGCTTAGCACCTTTTCAGAGGAATCGAAGGAGATTGCCTCGGAAACAGCGTCAACATGAATCTTCCAGTTAAGCCAATCGACAGCTAGTCAAGAGTAGTCCCCCGTCGTTTTCTGGTGGAACCGACATTCGAATCTCTTCACCCAACACTTTCACTCGAAATGGAAGTAAGCTCAACAATCCTATTAATGTGCAATTTTACTATCTTGGCCTTATATTCTGGTTTGATAAGATGAGAATTTTCCTCAGATGTTTATATTTTGAAACTGATCTTATGCGGAAAAAGTGGGTTGTCCCTTTATGGCCACGTCTGGGAGCGAAACATCTAGCCTTAATTGCCTTCAACGCATCCTCTCAGGTCTCGTTTTATTCATGCTAAACACTGGTCTACCATCTGGAGATGTATGTTTAACCACATTTTTCATCACTGTACATAATGAGTCGTGCTATTTTATTATAGTCTGCTGGCTATTTCATTCAGGAAAGACCGAAGAGAGGACTTAATTTACGTCCAAATTCGCAATGCCGTGCACTTCACAAAGCCGTTCTTATCCATCCGTGACCAAATGAAAGTGACAACCCGCACCCTTCTGATCGTCATCTTGGTGTGATACCAAATTATTTTTAAGTCACCTTATCCTCTATCCTTTGTACATCCACACGAGTAATCCTGATGCAGGGACCTTAAGATTGTTTGGTGTCTAAAATATGATAATCATGTTATTCCAATTGCTCGAGCCCAAACCCAACTGTATGCTCTTGTGTGATTCATTTCTATACTGAATACAACTGATTACTATTGTAAATGGTTTAACCTCGCTTTTACAACTTTGAAGGATTTTAATGTGTTTTTGTAAATTATTCATTTGATTCGTAGTACTAATAATTTGTTTTTATTTAGTATTAACGAACTAGTCCAGGAAGGTTCTAATCTCTGTCATATCGAAAATCCTGTGTAATGACTGCGTTTATATGGCTAAACCAGATTTCATGAATGGCTCTTGAATAAATACAAAAAAACAAGATTTGGAAGATTCAATTTGCTGGCCAATAATCTTTTTTATACCTTTGCTTCTTCAAAATCTGCTTTAGATGCTTCCAAACTTTCACTACATAAAATCGTCATCCTTGGAGGGGACTGGGCATTCCGATAGCCTTCTGGATGTTGTTACGGCTTATCTTACTTGGAAACCGCAGTGCATCTGCACCCACAAAATTCAACACTTTCTTCAAGATTCCCAAAGTCAAATTGAAGCAAAACCTGATTTGATCAACATTCCGTTTCAGAACAGCTCTTGTGGGATGCCGGTTCTTGAAGCTTGGGCTTGCAATAGCTTTCATTCGCCTCTTTTAGATGAACTCTTCTACCTTACTTGCTTCACCCATATTAGAGCGTGGTGCTCGCATCTTTCCTGCAGCTCTAATTCAACCGAATCGACTGGAATATGCTCCTCGGGTCATGCCCGAATGGCCAATCTCTTTGCTTCTGGCGACGATGTTTTGACTTATTACACCGTTAGATCTCCAAGCATCTCTGGTGATCCTGCCGCCCCGAGCAACGAACCCAATGATCCAAATTCTTGCGGCGGTTTTACATCTGGCAAATTCATTTACATCAATCCTCGACTTGTTATTTTAGTTATTCGTTTTCTGATTCGTCAAATATACGAAATTACAACCACTTCAATGCTGACGCAAGCTGAAGTTGATCTTGCATCGCAAGATTGCGGTTAGTGCTATTTCACCAATCACAATGCCAACTTGGAACAAGTAGATCCTAGCTCAAGATTAATGACCTGTAAACTCTTTGCCCACTTACTCAATCAAGAGCTGTTCCAGCCGATTTAGTATTCTGGTTAATTTTGATTTTGCGCTTGGGATCAACTGTTCCTCTTTTCTCACCTATTTAAGTAGTATGTTAATTTTATTTTGCTTTATTTACTTAAAATTGTCTTCTGATGGCATCACTCCTATCTATGTTTTTATCTATTTATGTTATAAATTTTATTTATATTCGACTGAATAGGTTTATAAAAAAATTAACGCTTTTACCTAGAAACTAATTGCCGAGATTGAGGTAGGATTTGAGCTAAAGTTTTTCCTTTTTACCATTATTACTTCTTTATTATCACTTATTAATAGATTCCCAATTAAAAATCTCATACCAAGCCAACTTCTAGCGTATATTACTTTCGCTTTGACCTATATTCTGGCGGCAGATCCGCCAAACCATCTACCTGGATTGCCCTTATACTAATCTATTATCAACCCGCTAGTATTTATTCTTCTTCTTTTGCAATGGAAAGTTCCACGAAGTCTATAAGCAACGTGGCTCTTTTCTTCTGGGTTTTGGAGTGCCCAATAATGCTTTTTAGTTTACGTGTGTCGACCACACTTCCTTCATCTTCTGGAGGGCA